TGCAATGCCACCTCTGGTGTCCCTCCCTGCTGGCAGCACTGCAATGCCACCTCTGGTGTCCCTCCCTGCTGGCAGCACTGCAATGCCACCTCTGGCAGTCGAGCTGACCCCAGCGCTTCCCTGACACCCAACACTCCTACATGACAACTCACCACCCTCTGGCCTGAGCCAGGAGCCCCCCCCAGCAGTACTTACAGCATGGCAATGCCCCAGTGCTTGCCAGCTCTCTCCCCAGCAGCCTGGAAGCCGGAGAGGCCGATGAGGGCCACGGTGGGGGTGATGGTCAGGGGGCCGATGTAGCGCAGGAGGGCCCCGGGCAGGCCGAGCAGTCCGATCACCACCTCGATCAGGGAGGACATGATGATGGCACCTTGGATCTGAACACACAACAAGGGCAAAGAGCCACCTCAGTCCCCTCTGACAGGCAAAGCCAAAGCGTTTCTTTTTCTGCTCTGGATTACAAACTGCACTTAAAAAGAATTCAGTGACACAGAAGAACTCAGTATATTTTTCGTCATAAAACAGCTCATTATGTTTAACTGACTTATTGCTTAAGCATAACACTTATGGTTTGTTTTTTTTTCTCCACAAAACTATTACACAACAGACCAGTGGGCCAGTCTGGAAGCTGTGTGGAAAGCACATCACACTGTCAGACAGGAGACCTGGGGTCCAGGCTAACCTTTAAGCTCTCAGATCGAACGGCAAGGGTTGGTGCGCCACGAGGTGATGCTCCTAAAGCTCCTAGGGGCAGAGTGTGTCTGCATTGGTCACAAGTGCTCCTTAGAAGCTGGATTAGAGCAGCGTTGTGGTCTCAGGAGACTGTCAGCCCTCTTGGCTGCAGGGCTCTTGGCAGGATGTAGCTATGGTTTGAACATGGGGAAGAGAGAGGGGTTGTTTTTAATTAAGAAAAAGTTGGCAGCCCAAAGCAACGGGATGGGAGATAAATTCCATGACACACGCCCTCGTTTGGACCTGGCTATCTACCACTCCAGCGTGGTACAACCCTCATCCTGGGCCCTGCAGGGCTGAGAGTGGAGAAGGACTTTGGGGGAGCTCTGCAAGTCTCTTGGGAGAATCAACATCTTATCAGGAGAGTCTCCAACTTAAAAACTCTTGGGGGATGACCCAGCTTTGCTAAACTGTGGGTTCATCTTCCAGGGGCCAGCCCACTGCACAGGGCCAGCAGGCAGCAGGTCTGGCAGCAGCTGAACTGCTGCCAATGAGCACAAAGCAGAGGTACAAGAAGAGTTTGCATCTCACTTGAGCATTTCACTGCACGACTTTTGGAATGTGGTAACTAACTCCTGGTATTTGCTGTCCAGTACGAACAGGTTGGAAAGATGAAAGACTTCCATGAGATGAGTAAAGGGATATATTCAAATGGAAATCGCAGTGAAAGAAGAAATTACCAACTTAAAGACAAGGACACACAGATGTTTGGGTGAGAAACTTAACTGGAACTGGACAGAGGGACAGCTAAAGGCAACTCCCACATTACCTCTCGGATCCGGGGGTACCAGATGTGCTCGGTGTGCGGCAGCTCTGCTGTCCTGTTTGTAACTGTTATATCTTACAGAGAGGAGACAAGAAAACACAGGTACTTATTTATTTATTTATTCCTCAGCCACTCTGCCATCATTTCCCACAAAATAACCCCCTCCTCATGCTGGGTCTGACAAAGGAGCCTGGATTTACACGGAGAACAAGCTCTGCAGTGCTACCAATGAAGTAGCAACAGCCTCACATTCCCCAAGAACCAACCCTTCATTCCACCCACCACACCAAAGTGGGAACAAATCCTAACTTTCAGGAAGGAAGGTCAATTGGGGATTCCCTTCCCACTCCAATAAACAGATGAATGGAGAATTACTCAAGTGCACACTGGAATCAAAGGCTCCAACTCCATCAATTTAGGTCACCCACTGAATGAACTGACCCATGGCAACAACCCCAACTGGCATCTTTTGAAGGTGAAAAGGTCCAAGAGGAAGATGCAGCAAAGCTCTTTTGGAAAGGCTGGAGTAGTGGGAAAATGGCTTTGCCATCCAAGGTTATCAGACAGGATTTTCTTTCGACAAGATGTGTATTCAGTTACTGGCACATTCTGAATGTGAACCAACAGAGATGCTTAAACACATAGATAATATAAATTAAATTATTAGAGAATCCAAAGGAGCCCTGGGAAGAACTTTAGGTAGAAACAAGTAGCTTGATTCTCTATGGGGCTGCCTCCCACTGCCCACAGCCTTGTTACTGAATAACCACACCCCATTAAAAAGAAAACTGCCAGAGGAGTTTCCACTTCAGTTTCTAACCTAATTCAAAGCCAAACACCCCATCCCAATGAGCTTTACTGCATATTTCCCCTCTGAAGTTAAAACCTTTCAGGATGATGACATTAGCAAAGGAAGAGCTCAAATGAACACCCAAATCTTGTCAAAACCTGTCAGGTATGACTTAAACAGGGAAAAATCCTGGTCTTGAGGTGATGCTGAACATCAAACTTCCTCCTACTCAACTTCAAAGGATTCGACTGAACTTGCTATTTCCAAATATTGGGAAGGAACATTTACGGAATGTAAATGCAACAGAAGAATTACTTTGTGCTACTGTTGGATTTCTTTTGACAACATTTTTTTAATATTAAAAAGTCCCCAGAAATAGAACTCCACAAGGGCATTTTTAGGAATCTTTTTCTAAGGCACAAAGATTAACATTGTAAGAGGAGAGACTTTTCCTGTTCCCTCCTCAACTCTTCCAGTTTCCCCCTCAGAAGGTTTGGCTGTTGCACTTTAAGTGATCTGGGCCATTGGTCACTTCCCCCTGAACAAGCACAAAGGACAATTACCTGTGTTATTACATTTCCACTTCTCCAGAGAGAGTATTGCTCTGGCAGGTGCTAAGAATGCAAAAGCACTGGCTTGGAACAGGGGTAACCTGTTGGAGGGAAAGGAGAGGTGGTGACATTCAGTGGTGCCCCAGCACCGTGGCAGGAGGGTGGGCACTGAGACTCAAACCCTCAGCCAGTCAGGAAAGTGTGAAATGGGAGAATTCCTCATCAAACAAACCCAGCCAGTGAAATACTCACAGACTCCCCAAGCCAAAGAGCCACCACCACCCACACGAAGTTCCTACCAATCTGCACCGGGTCATTCCAGGCACCAGGGGGTGATGTCAGGTTTTGACTCAGAGCTCAGGGATGCAGATGCACCGTCTGGGGTAACCACCACACAGACTGCTGAACAGGCAGCTTTTCCCAGCCCACCACAGCTCACAAGCCCTCTCCAGGGGCAGCCTGCAGGCTCAGTGCCTCCCCTCTGCATGACTGCAAGCCCAGTCACTCAGACACTCATCTGGAAGTGCGTGTGTAAATAACTGCCAGGTTGATAAAAGCAGATTAGATGTTCCAGGTGCTTACCACCAATAAATACAAACACTGCAAGAATTTCAAGATGACATTCTTAGCATTGGTGTTTATACTTCCCAAAAGATTTAAGATTGAAAGAGCATCTACCAGCATCAACTACGTGTTTACTGACCTCACTGCAGGCCGTGTAACACAAACACGCAGATGTTACTTAACTACAGACAAGGTTCACTTTGAACTATTCTATAAATACTGACAGTAATTGCAATAAGATTCCCTTTAATAGCAGATCTCAAAGTGGAGCACGTGGTTATTGCCCCTGAGCTGCTCCATGTTATGGCTTTTAAGCCACAGTGAAGCTCCTCGAGGGAGGGCAAACACCAGGAGAGGAGACAGAACTGCAGCAGAATCACAGGAAGACCAGAAAAGGCTCAAAGGAGAAAAAATACGTGGAAAAAATCCTCTACACACTGAACACAGAAAAGATCAAACCAGAAGCATGTTACTAATAGTTGTTAAGTTTACAGGCAGGAGTTGGAGCACCACTGGGAAGCACTTTGGGCCTTGGGCACCCTAAAAACCCACTGAAAAGGGTATCAGCAACTCCAACTTCATACAACTCATGAGCCATCCAAGCATGGCTGACTGGATGCAATTCCCCCTGGGAGTCTCTCCAAGCACAAATCCCAGTTTTATCTCTGGGAAGAAAGACATGGTTGGCAGCTCAGTGAATGATTCACCTTATTTTGCAGGTTCATTAAGCAAACTGAGCTGCTAGTGCCCATGGCAAGATCTGCAACACCTGAGACAAGCTGTTACTGCTCCATCCCACCTACACAGCCCTCTGTACCTCCAGAGATCTTGTAAATACACTTTGCAAACACATTCTCCAGTGATGAACTCAGCTGTACTGAGACCTGGGTCCAGATTGTTCTGTATCACATTAAATATCCTGAATAATCAGATCTCAGCACGTCCTGTTTAACCCTTACATGACACAGTTCCAAAAGGACCAGCAGACTCAAAATAGTGGGGTTTTTCCCCAAGCAGGGAAGAAAAAAAAAAAGAAAGGTATTTTTTTTTATTTTTTTATTTTTTACCCTTATTCCTCAAAATCAGCCAACCAAGATCCGTCTCCTTCTGAAGAGACAGCTCCAGTCTGGAATGTGACTTATGGATGTTAAGCCAGGCACCCACTGCTAGTCAGCTAAAGCCCCAAAAGCTTAAAGTCCTAAAGCTTGACTGGGACATCATTTTAATTTCATGACAATATGATCAAGTTGCTCAGTTTTGCAGCAGCTCCTGTGAGGATGGAGGGGTTTATGCAGTTAAAGTCATCTGGAAAGGTCTCATTATCCCAGCATGTCCCACGGATGCAGGAAAGCTCAGACAGTGATGGGCACAGCAACAACCCTGAAACCTGAGGTAGATTAAAGCTGGGTTTGATTGTCTCAGTCACTAATTACCCTCGATCCCTGCCAAGGCTCCTGGCTCACCCCCCAACCTGGGGAATAGCTGGAATTCCTAAAACCAGTCTGGGTACCAAACTGACCACAACTCTGCCTCATAACTGAGCTAAATCCTTCTGTAAGGACCTTTCAACCGTGGAATTTGACCTTTTGAAACCTTTATTTGCTGAAATACTTTGCAGTTGACAGACTTGCCAATGAATACTTTAAAATCTCATTTAAAGGCCTTTGCTGCTATATCCCATTCCCAGCCTTACATAAACCCCCAGCCACGTGGTAAATAGTTATAAAACAGCCAAGCGTGGAGATTTTCTCCTTAAATACAAGTTATTTTAAGGCCCAAACACAATTGCCTTCAAGTATATAAAAAAATGTAACTCCAGTGCAAGTGGGAGCCACTGAAAAGGGGAAAATCCCAACAGATGGAGGGCAGGGGTGGGATTATACACAAGGAACAGAGAATTTCAATATGATGGGACCATCAGTTTAGTCCTTTTATTTCTGAAAGAGCCCAAAATAACTCATTAAGTAATAAAGGAATTAAAAATAAAATTAAATTAATAATTTTTTAAAAATAAAATGGAGAAAAAGAAAATAAAAATAAAATAAAGTCATGGTAAGTAATAAAGAGCCAAAATTAGTTAGGGGGAAAAAACTGAAATATGACAAATGTGAGGAGATAAGGTCTCAGGAAACATGAAAATTAAGCTTTTCTGATAAATTTGAGGCAGAGGAGGAAAGCTAGTAGGGGTAGAGGAAAACAAAGCCCCCCTCTGAGCTCATCCCCATCCACAACTTTGCACTTCCAACACAACTGGAAGGTTTCAAACTTCAACAAATCCAAGGAGGAGGCACTCAAAGCTGAACAATTAAATCTTATAATTGTCCACAATCCCTCCATTCCCTAAAAAAAAAAAAGGACAAATTGAAGATGGGAGGAAAATCCATCACTCCCATGGAAAGGGAAATTCAGATCAGCAAGGGGGACAACTCTGCTCCTCCAGGAGAGCTGCTGGAGGGTTTGTGGTTACAGCACAAAGAGCCAATTGGGCTGAAAATACCATTATTAACTCTGGGGAGTCTTGACTTAAAGAAAATATATTGAGGAAAGAAAATTTTCTCCAATTTCAACAATTTTCACTATGTTGTTTTGTCATCAGAATGAACTTTTTACTCAAAATAGAGGAGTGATCTCCTGAGTTGAGTAAGATACAAAAAAAATATAGGGAAGGTTGGGGTTTTTTTAAGGAAAAAGAACAGACAGCAAATCAAAGTTAACTAAAATAGCAATCAAAGACTACACTGGAAAACCCGAAATATTTGGCAAATTTTTAGATAAAAAGCTGATCTACCACAGGCTTGGTTTCTGCACCCCCTGAGACACCTCCGACACCCAAAAATCCTGGTTCTCAGATAAATCTGGGAAAATGTGGGAGGTGTTTGGCCACTTGCTGTTGGAAAATAGAAAATGGTTCTGAAATGGAACTAAATGGCCCGTGAATCATTCAGGGAAGCATCTGAGGGAATCCTCTTAACTATGCACTTTGGTTCTGGTTTTCCTTATCACTCTTGGTTTATCCTCTTGAATAACATGCAGAAGTAACTCCACAGGTTTTAGTTATTCCCAAAGTTTAAATAAACACATCGAACACCTCTGCAGTGATCACTGTGAAACACAGGTTTATAAAGAAGATTTATCTTCATGTTAATAAAACTGACAACATCCTGTCCTTGCCAACACCAGATTTATCCAAGTATTTGCCAAGTGGGCTCTTGTTTCCTCCTAAGGAGAGGTGAAGGCACCCCTGGAAAGCTACACCTTTGTGTGTGGGTACTCCTAACTCCAGGCATGATCATGACCTGCAACTCAGAGCAACTAACAAATAAAAACAAATTATCTGATGCACTGGAAGGTAACAGAGACTCAGTTCAGAGAATTACATGTTACCCTCATCACCTTTCCCCACCTTTTTAATTTGCCAAGCCCTTCACAGGTAATTTGGTGCAGGACTGATCACAACCACCTTAATACTAGAAAGAATAAAATATCATTCAAGAAACAAATAACAAATAAATTAGAACACCCAAATTAGTTGCTCTTTACCACAGTGTATGAATTTTTTCCTTTTCCCCAGAAACACTTCTGCCTTCTCTGTTCTCATGAGTTTCCCTCCTCCTTCTCCTGTTTCCCTGCTGTATTTTCTTACCCTTGGAATGCCCTTTGTTATTTCAGATCCACCTTTTTTTGGGAGCAGCTTTCTAAAGCTTGCCCTGTGTCTGACCTATCCTGTGTCTCGTGTTCATCCTTTGAAAACACATCCCCTCCCTCTCGGATCTCGGAAACCTCAACGCGTGCCTGGCCTTACCACCACCCCAGCGAGCCCCAAACCTCACCTGCAGCCAAAGGTTGTTTGTAACAACGTGGTGATGCCCACACAGAAGAAAATGGTCCCAATCAACTGGCTGGTGGCCCACTGGTCAAAGCCCACACACATGGCATCGGCCAGCAGGAAGGGCACGGCGATCGTCCCGCTGAAGCACGTCAGGTAGTGCTGCCAGAGGCAAAAGCTCGGTTAATTCTGCACCCACTGCTCAAAAATAAATTCATTTATCGCCATCTTTTCTCTTGCTTTGGGTATTTTGAATTTCCACCCAGGATCTCTTCCTGGTCCTAAGCTTTTCTTCAAATATTTCTTTAAATATTCTCCCCCAGCTACCACTCGCCAGTTGCTAATGATCCCTGGCTTTGTAGCATAACCCAGGTTATTTAAATAGCTGCAGGGCTGCTGCTCTTGAGCAGGAGGTATCCAGGTAACTGTGCTGGAAACAGAGAAAAGCACAGGAGTAGCTGCATTCACTTGCACCCATGTGAAAAACCCTCTGCTCACAAATGAACCCGGAGCACACACAGAGCAGGGTGCAAAGGAGCTCCCAGGGACCAGAAACCAGGCACTCATTGGTTCCTTCTCAATCCAACCACATGAAGCAAAACAAACAAACAAACAAATTCACTGTTTTGAGCAAAGCAAGTAAAAATAGAACTCCCCCAGAACTGCCTGTCCTTCAGGAAAGGCAGAAATAAAAAGGATGCTTTGGAATGTATTTGTTTGGAGAGCTCAACGTGTTTTACAGATATTACCAAATTCCCAGCATTCCTGTGGGACAGATATTATTACCACTGGAGAAAGGAAGGAGATGAAACTGGAGCTGTTCTGCTTCCCACAAGTGAGGGGCTGAGCTGGCAGTAGGGTCCAGCTCTCTACTACAGCCTTACTCACTGCAGGAAGCACATGTTCTTACTCCAAGGATTCTCCAAGGAACACAGAAGTTTCCTGCTCTGCTTCCCAGCAAGACAGGCCCACAATGATGCTCTTAAGACTTGAAATAACTACTAGCAGCTTTAATATTCAAAATTTCAGGACTAAACCATCGTCTCTCTCTAATTCCAGAAGTGCAAAATGTCACTTCTCAAGGTCTCCACTGAGTATTTGCTGAAAAAACTACTCAGAATTGAAGTAACTACAGTAGCAGCTTTAATATTCAAGATTTCAGGACTAAACCATTATCCCTCTCCATCTTTAATTCCAGAAGTGCCAAATGTCACTTCTAAAGGTCATCGCTGAGCATTTCCTCACTTACTTACTAACAGCAGCTCATAAGACTAAATATTTGAGTGAATCTCACAAATGCAGGAGCAGAAAACAGATCATTATCAACACAGTGATCTCAGTGTGTGATCAGCTTCAGAAAAAGCCTCTCAACACCTTCTTCAAACACCCGAGAGGGCGAAGAATAAAATTCTCACACACACAAATGCAATGAACTGGGCAGAAAACACTGAACAAGCTTTAGAAGGTACAGAGGGAGAATTAACCCCTGGTTTGGAACATACCTGTAGCCCCAAAAATATGCAGAGGTACCAGGGAGGAACATCCTCAATGGTGTAAATCATGTCAGTCCTCTGGGCGTCCAAACTGCCGCTGCTGTCCAGGGTCTCTGCCAGGGAGCTCTGGGGGGTGGCAGGGGGCAAAGGGGGGGAGCACACAAAGGACACAGCAGGTTATTGCTCTGCACCAACAAAGTGAGTCTGAACTGTCAGGCAACTCCCCATACTCCAAGGCTGGTCCAACACTCCCAAACAATGCTGACACATGACATTTTTAAAGCCTTTTACCTCTGACCAGCTCAGCTCCAGCTCCTGAATTTGTCCTGAACGTGCTCCCTGCTGTCAGCCATCCCCTGCTTATTTACAGTGACTTATTTATAATTGCTGATTTATCACAGAACTGATCTGGCAGCCAAAAGGTGACCAAAAATGGCATAATCATGACAAGACTATTAAGAAAAACCAAAACCAACAAACCAAAACCACAAAACCAAACAAAAAAAGGAATTAGGGAAGAATTGGAACTAAGTAGAAGAGCCACCAGTGGTTGTTCCCAAAGCAGAAGGGCTCTGTCCTTGCATAAGAGACCAAAATGACAGACAAAAAATTCCTCATTATGGTAATTCTTACCCAATTCCATCTTGGCTAACCTTTTTTAGCCAAAGGATTTATTATTTTTGCTTCCACCCCACATTCAAGCAGTCAAGAAAAATGCTAATTATTATAATCAAACACATCCCCAGCCAATTCGTGTCAGACTTCCCCTAGGAATTTAAATCCCTGCAGGAATTTCAGTGAGACCACACTCTGCCCCACCACATGCCCAGAGGGCCAACAGACAACTGACCACATATATTCACACATCCACATCCCTGTGGGTTTTCCACTAAAACAAAATCCAGCTCCATCATTTCTCCTTCAGAACTATGGAGAATCATTTCCTTCCAACTCTCCAGTTTGGGAATTCCTGAGAGCAAAACCACACTGCTCCAAAGCCCCAACACCACAGTAAAAGCAGGAGGAAGTATCAGGTTTTATCATTACCAAGAAACCAAAAACCTCCTTATGTAAGAACTGTTCTGCCCTAATCCACACCAGGACACAACAAGCCCACGTGAAGTTGCCTCACACCAAGACTGGGAGTTCTGCCAGACCTGTGACTGCCTCAGATGGTCTTCACTTCTCCAGAAATCCCAACATATCCACGGGTCACACTTAGGGAACCTCCACTGCAGATCACCTACAAGGCCAGGGAAGCCAAACTGCCTCCTGGTCCTTCCCTCTCACCTCAGTCTTCTGTTGGGAAAACAGGTGCCACTGGGATAATTCTCCTGACACAGGATTATGGAGAGGTTGGGGGTATTGCAGTGGAAAAGTAAAATATAGGAACACTAATCTCAGAAAAGTCTTTTAAACCACATTAAGCACCAGGCAATCCTCTCACCAGGGTATAGGTCCTAAACTGAGGAATTAAGGAAACTGTTCCCTGCCCAACTCATCGGGTCAATTTGCAGCACCACTGACACTCCTTCATCAACTGAAACATGAATTTTTTCTCTCCTGACCCAATTCTCTAAAAAATCCTGAATAAAATCCTGAAAAAATCAGGAATTTGAACTACAGAATCGTTAAGGTTGGTAAAACATTTAAGATCATCAAGTCTAACTGTCAACCCATCACCAGCACCACGTTCAACCACGTCCCCAGTTGCCACATCAGCGTGTTTTTGGAACGCTTCCAGGGATGGCAACTCCACTGCTTCCCTGGGCAGCCCATTCCAACCTTTAACAACCCCTTCTTTGAAGAAATTCCTCCTGTTGT